TGGGAACGATGATCCTGCCGCACGGCTTCTACCTCCAGTGCATGGGCCAAGGCGTCCTTAAGCGTCTCATGGTGCCCGAGCCTCACAGCAGCTCTGACTTCCAGGTCACGGATGCCGTCGATGAATGTCTGCACCAGGTTCCCTCCAATGAGCGCAGGTACAGACCGGTATGCCTTTCGCACCAGCTTCTCCACCTCTAGAGCCCACTGCTGCAGGTTTTCGTTGATGCGCTGCACGCGATCTTTAAGCTGCGCACGAAAGACGTGTTCCAGGTGAGCGTCGCCATACCTCGCCTCCAATGCCTCAATGAGTTGCTCATAAGTCACTTCCTCACCGAGAGCTTCCAGAACTGTTAAGGCCTGGTCGCGCAGGCCTAGTGTGAGAGCAGTCATGGCCTGACTTTCATTCCAGCCGTTCGCCTTCATAACAGCCTCGAACTGGATCTTGTAGGCTGACCAGGAAGAGGTACCGTCGAACGGCGGCACTTTGAATCCACGTAGCGAAGGTGTTGTAGCTACTACGGGAGCTGTTGTTCCATCCCCAAGTTTGAGGTCGTCCAGCGTTTTCTTCACGTCAGCCATTACGTTGTCAACCCGATTGTTTACTTGGTCGATTCGGGTTTCGGCCTCCGACAGGCGGTTGTCATGTTGAGCAACCTTATCCTTCACCTCCCGTATCTCTTTTCCGAAGATAGCGTGAAGGTCCTTCATGAGGAGCATCTGCTCTTCCTTATCGCGTTGGAGTTGCTCTTCTAAACGACGGGCCTGTTCCTCCTGCCAGCGGGCCTGTTCCTCCTGCCGGCGGGCCTGTTCCTCTTGTCCGCTTTGCAGCTGCTCTTTCAACTGACGGGCCTGCTCCTCCTGTCGGCGAGCCTGCTCCTCCTGTCGGCGAGCCTGCTCCTCCTGTCGGCGAGCCTGCTCCTGCAGCATCACCATCAGAGCACCTAAGTCAGGTGCTGCAGATGTAGGAGCTACCGACGGGCCTGCAGCCGGTGGCTGGCCCTCCGTCGTCTGCGGCGTTGCACCACCAAATCTTCGTTGGTCCGTCTCCTGCTGGCGTTGACTTCGGGTACGGACACCCTCCGTTTCCTCCTTAGGTAAAATCGGCATGATTTTATCCCACTTCTGACACCAATTGTTACGAGCTTGAGGTTCGTGACAATAAAAATTGCCGATAAAATTACCTAAATTAACACTTTAATTTACTTTACACAATTAAAGTTAAAACACCAATAATTTAAACACACTAATTCACTTAATTCCACTCCGAAGCTTCGCTTGTTTCGCCCAAATCAACACTGCCCCCATCGCATCTTGCAGCGCCTATATATTTAAATTAGCAAAGAAATATCCAGAATGTTCAAGTAAATACGCGGAAGGTATCGAGCGTTCGAGTTTCGACTAGGCGCTGTCAGTTGAGCGATTTGTGATGTCATTTTCTCAATGCTCCCCTCGCTCTCGTTCCTGACACTAGATGGCGCTAGTTGACTTATTCATGCAACAATATTATTTTACTTCGAAAGTAGAGAATGGCGAGGTAAAATGTAAGCGAACAAAACAAAAAAACCACCACAAAAATGTATAGATTATTTTATTATATTGAATAAGTTAACTCTAAATTTAGATTAATTCTTATGTCCTAAATGACTAATTTTAATAATATTACATTTAGTAAATAGAGCCGTAATTAATTTAATTAAATCACATGACAATTAAGTAAATATTTTTTTACAATGTACTTTATCAGTGTAAGAATTGCATCAATAAAAATATACATTTAAGTATAATATTTGTTCTTCTTTTATCCTTTACCGCGGCCTTTTAAATTCACCGGATTCTTCTGAAGAACCTGCAAATACAATATAACTGAGATTATTATATATGTCGTATTAAAACGGAATGAGAAAATTCGACAAAATAAATTTTGTACAACATACATTTTGGAGACTATGGCATTTGACATTATTTTTATTGAAATTATAATAACAGTAGTCGAATTGAGAGAAAGACAATTAAGTAGATGGGGAAAGGTGTATCCTAAGTGCATGCTCACGATAATATCCAAGTTGTCACGTACGAAAAAATTGTAGAGACGAAGATCAGCAGTAGGGGCAACATCAAACGTGTGAAGTTGTTTGTGTGTGCATGTCAAACTAAAAGCGTCAGTTAAGGCCAGGTTGGATAAAATAGGTATCGTATTTTATAACAGTATTTGCCTTCTGCAGGTTGCCGCCGTGATTGGCACTATAGGTCAGCCGATTGGGACTGGAATGGATGCGATCTTTTTTTTGCACCCCACCTTTGGGGACGGGTTTACTTCTCGCTGGATGATCCCAGCGTTGTTGCTGATTCTGTCGCTGATGTGTTGCTACAGAGAATGGAACTTTTTATTCCATCATCTGTGGTGCCTATCGGACGCAGAACCCAGCCATGGTTTGGTCGCTCCTGCAAAATTGCACCACGCCATAAGCAAGAGTGCTCCCGGGCCTGGGCTGACGCATCGACGTCTCGAGACGGAAATAGCAGCGCTGTTAAAAAGAAATATAATTCCGCCTCCAGATCCTTCAAAAGTGTTATTGTTAAGGCAAAGTCAGAGCACATCAGCAGAATTGGCGAAAAACTAGTTCGATTTCCTTCGCGAACACGTGCATTCTGGTCTCTCGTCATGGTTGTCAAAGGGAACTTCTGTCAACCATCGCTTCCATCTCTGCACAGGGAAGACGACTCACTAGCCATTCCCGCCAAGGGCAAAACCGATCTGCTGGGTCTGGTCCAACTCGACTCTTGATGACGGGGGGAACACATCGCCGAACATTCCGCTGTGTGAGTGCTTCATGCAAGATGTGCTGTTTACCCAGCGCTCAGTGCGCAGGGCATTCCCCTCCCTGGACGTCAACAAGTCGAGTGGCCCTGATGGCGTCCCTTCTATTGTGCTAAAGACGTGTGCTCCGAAGTTGGCACCGGTTTTAACGCGTCTTTTCCGATACTCCTCCTCCCTAGGCGTAGTCCCGAACTCATGGAAGACAGCTTTAGTGCACCCAATCTCTAAAATAGGCGACCGCTCAGATCCGTCCAAATACAGGCATATCGCTATCACCCCTTGTTCTCTAAAATAATGGATACAGTTACATATTAACTGCCAGGTCATGAGGTACCTTGAGGATCACCAGCTAATTAGTGACCGCCAGTTCGGTTTCCGTCGCTCAGCTGGTGATCTACTGGGTTACCTAACTAATTGATGGGTGGAGGCAGTAGAGTCCAAGGGGTAGGCGGCGGCCGTTAGTTTGGATATAGAGAAGGCCTTAGATCGCGTTTGGCACAAAGCGCTTCTTACGAAGCTACCTTCGCAATATATTAAATCCCCAGAATTATATATTTAATCCCCAGAAGACACAAGTTTGCGCGTCTACCGCTAAAAGGAACCCCATTTGTCGTATCTCCTCAGTTTCAGAGCACTCCCCTTGTTGCCTCAGCCAGTATTAGAATCCTCAGCGCCGAAATATGGAGTGACGTGTAGTTTCGTGGTCATTTGGAAGAGGAGCCCAAATTGGTCTCTAAAAAGCTTAACATGCTCAGTAGAGCGGGACAGTATGTCATGTCGGCACACTGTCTGCAACAACTAGGCGCACATGGAATACTGTTTCCATCTCTGAGCTGAGGCTCCCTTGTGCCAGCTCCTTCCATTTCATCTCATACAACGCAGAGCTGTTCGAATCTTCGGCGACCGAGCTCTTTCCGATCGGCTTGATTCACTAGCACTGCGAAGAGATGTTGTTGCATCTCATTGCGTATTTTATCGCTTATACTACGAGAAGTTCTCTGAGGAATTGTTCAGACTAATTTCAGCTGCACAATTTCACCATCGCACATCGCGACAAAACTTGCGATGCCACTCATACCATCTGGATGACTGGCGATCCCCTACTGTTCGATTTAAAAGAACTTTTCTTCCTCGCATAACTTCTTTGTGGAATCAATAACTACCAGAGATTTTTCCGAATCGATACGACTTAGGTACCTCCAAGAAAGTTACAGTTTTTTAAAAGGCCGGCAACACATCCACAATTACCCTGGTGTTGCAGTAGTTCATGGGCGGCGGTAGTCATTAACAGGTGAACCGCATGCTTGTTTGCCCCTCTCCTATAAAAAAGACGATTTTGACCTGCGAGAATTGATATTTCTTGAAATATTATATCTATGCTTGAAAAAATATGACAATACATGAAATACTCAATTAAATTATTAATAGAATGAAGTTTAAAAATACTTTATTTTGATAAAGGTAAAAAACAAATTTTAACGCTGACAAAAATTTTTGACGTTTCAATTCTCGTTTTGTTGTAAGCGATATCCATATAATATTTTCTAGTAAAGTGAAAGGCGTTATTGAAGTAGATTTTTCACCGGCTTCATTTTTGTCCACCGAATGCCGCACGCTTATTGTGTGTTAGACAAATATGCATGCAGTGTAGAAGGGAGGAAATCCTAGCCTTAAGTTAAACAGTTGTGAGATTGATAGTAAATTAAAGATCATCGTCGATTTTCCAAGGCGTTGACACACCCGCGCATTTGTCAGTCCGTCTATGTGGTAAGACCATCGCGAGTTGTATAGATAGCGGAGCGAGCAGAGCACCAAGTGACGGTACTTGCGCACGTACGTTTCCACCCAATGTACTACAGGCGAATGACACGTGAATATCCAATAGACGATGATGATTAAATAACGGATCAATCACGAAAGAATATTCACCGTACCCTCCCCGAGTCTTTATACTTCACCTTACAAAACAGTAACTGTCGGCAATGAAAATACAACAGCGTGGCCTGCGTGGCGTATTTACCGTGCCAGTACATGCCCGCGCGGTCCACAGCTGTGACACAGTGTTCTGAATTATCGGTCTAGTAGGTAGTATACATACAAGTCTTTATGAAGCGGTGTGCGTATATCAAGCCTGTGCTGTACTGTGAATACGTGGAGGAGAATGAGGAAGTTAGTGGTGATTATCGTGTTTGCGGTGGCAGTAGCGGCCGCGCCAGCCGGGCTCGCAGGCACAAATCGAATGAAATATTGCACACCTGAAGGCTGTGCTGTAAAAGGAGCAAGGATGGCGGTATCGTGCGTACGGTGGCAGTAGCGACCGCGCCAGCCGAGCTCGCAGGCACAAATCGAATGAAATATTGCACACGTGAAGGCTGTGCTGTAAAAGGAGCAAGGATGGCGGTACCGTGCGTACGGTGGCAGTAGCGACCGCGCCAGCCGGGCTCGCAGGCACAAATCGAATGAAATATTGCACACGTGAAGGCTGTGCTGTAAAAGGAGCAAGGATGGCGGTACCGTGCGTACGGTGGCAGTAGCGACCCCGCCAGCCGTGCTCGCAGGCACAAATCGAATGAAATATTGCACACGTGAAGGCTGTGCTGTAAAAGGAGCAAGGATGGCGGTACCGTGCGTACGGTGGCAGTAGCGACCGCGCCAGCCGGGCTCGCAGGCACAAATCGAATGAAATATTGCACACGTGAAGGCTGTGCTGTAAAAGGAGCAAGGATGGCGGTACCGTGCGTACGGTGGCAGTAGCGACTGCGCCAGCCGGGCTCGCAGGCACAAATCGAATGAAATATTGCACACGTGAAGGCTGTGCTGTAAAAGGAGCAAGGATGGCGGTACCGTGCGTACGGTGGCAGTAGCGACCGCGCCAGCCGGGCTCGCAGGCACAAATCGAATGAAATATTGCACACGTGAAGGCTGTGCTGTAAAAGGAGCAAGGATGGCGGTACCGTGCGTACGGTGGCAGTAGCGACCGCGCCAGCCGGGCTCGCAGGCACAAATCGAATGAAATATTGCACACGTGAAGGCTGTGCTGCAAAAGGAGCAAGGATGGCGGTACCGTGCGCACGGTGGCAGTAGCGACCGCGCCAGCCGAGCTCGCAGGCACAAATCGAATGAAATATTGCACACGTTAAGGCTGTGCTGTAAAAGGAGCAAGGATGGCGGTACCGTGCGTACGGTGGCAGTAGCGACCGCGCCAGCCGGGCTCGCAGGCACAAATCGAATGAAATATTGCACACGTGAAGGCTGTGCTGTAAAAGGAGCAAGGATGGCGGTACCGTGCGTACGGTGGCAGTAGCGACCGCGCCAGCCGGGCTCGCAGGCACAAATCGAATGAAATATTGCACACGTGAAGGCTGTGCTGTAAATGGAGCAAGGATGGCGGTACCGTGCGTACGGTGGCAGTAGCGACCGTGCCAGCCGGGCTCGCAGGCACAAATCGAATGAAAGATTGCACACGTGAAGGCTGTGCTGTAAAAGGAGCAAGGATGGCGGTACCGTGCGTACGGTGGCAGTAGCGACCGCGCCAGCCGGGCTCGCAGGCACAAATCGAATGAAATATTGCACACGTGAAGGCTGTGCTGTAAAAGGAGCAAGGATGGCGGTACCGTGCGCACGGTGGCAGTAGCGACCGCGCCAGCCGGGCTCGCAGGCACAAATCGAATGAAATATTGCACACGTGAAGGCTGTGCTGTAAAAGGAGCAAGGATGGCGGTACCGTGCGTACGGTGGCAGTAGCGACCGCGCCAGCCGGGCTCGCAGGCACAAATCGAATGAAATATTGCACACCTGAAGGCTGTCTGTAAAAGGAGGCGCAAGGATGGCGGTACCGTGCGTACGGTGGCAGTAGCGACCGCGCTAGCCAGGCTCGCAGGCACAAATCGAATGCAATATTGCACACGTGAAGGCTGTGCTGTAAAAGGAGCAAGGATGGCGGTACCGTGCGTACGGTGGCAGTAGCGACTGCGCCAGCCGGGCTCGCAGGCACAAATCGAATGAAATATTGCACACGTGAAGGCTGTGCTGTAAAAGGAGCAAGGATGGCGGTACCGTGCGTACGGTGGCAGTAGCGACCGCGCCAGCCGGGCTCGCAGACGCAGGCGCCCTGTAGGCACGTGCCGTGGCGGCACGGCCGCGCGCACTCGCCGCGCCGCCCCACCTCGCAGTGGCGCCCGCCCAGCCCCGCCGGGCAGCGGCACCGGTTCACGCCGCGGCACCGCCCGCCGCCCAGGCACGGGATCACGCACTTGGCTGCAAGTACACCGCCACACCGAGTGAACACTGTTTGTTAGCTCGCTCGCCAAAATCAAACATTTTTTGAGACATACATGAAACTAATTTTAAGGATTTTATCACTTTTTTCAATCTGAAGTTAACCGAGTTAACTATGACATCGGAACATCATACGCCTCAGTTCCCGACCCGTGACCATGGGTGCTGACCGGTGAGCTTCCGAAACGTCGGGAATTAAAAAGTCAAAACTAACGCGATATAATGCATAAAATTAGTTCTATTTAATGTGTAGTATTCGCCTAAATATAAGAAATCAATATTTCTTGTGACATACTAAATATAAGAAATCAATATTTCTTGTGACATACTAAATTCCTTATTATATTAAACTTTGTGGAAAGGAGCTAAGAAGTTGGAATTATTCACTTTTACTGCATTCCTAACCATATACTTTACACGTGTATGCTAAGTCCATACTAGCAGCTTTCTTAAACAAATGATACACAATTTTTATTTAGGAGGATAATTCACAAGTCCTATATGGCATGTAGTGGCGGCGCGGCGTTAGAGATGCAACTATCCCGTATCTTCCCAAGAGTGTCGTAAATAACGACAGAAAGAATTGAAATAAAAGATTGGCGGCAGCATTTTCCTTATAACTCTAAAAAATTACGACTATAAGGCAATCCATGGAAGAAGTCTATGTTCAGCAGTGGATTTTTTATAGGCTCTAATGGAGATTTTTATAATACAACATAAATAGAACATTATTTATTTAAATCCGAACAAAGATAAAACGAAAAATGTTACGGATATTGCATGGTTCACTTACAAAACTCGCACCGAAGTCCATAATATCCTTTCGGACACTCACAAGTGTCTTTCTGTATACATTTCCCGCCATTGAGACATTTCTGCGAACATATACCTAGAAAGAAAGAGAATATTATAAATATTACAAAATCGGCAAACAGACATGGATTTTGATAATTGTCGTTCTATGTTGTGACTTTAATGAGTAGCCGCAATACCATATTTTGTTTTACGTATGATTTCTATATTTTTATAGGATTAGGGTGATAAGCTAGCGCACAGTCCACCTGATGGTAAGTGTTGCTGTGGCCCATAGAACATTTACATCTATACTCGTTTGTGAATCAAAATGCAGATGTGTCGTCAGCCGCGAGGACTAAGATAGTGTTACGAGCTTGAGGTTCGTGACAGTAAAAATTGCCGATAAAATTACCTAAATTAACACTTTAATTTACTTTACACAAATTAAAACTTAAAACACTAATAATTAAACACACTAATTCACTTTATTCCGCTCCGAAGCTTCGCTTGTCTCGCCAAATCCAATACTGCCCCGCTCGCATCTTGCAGCGCCTATATATACAAATTAGCAATGAAGCATCCGGAATATTCAAGTAAACGCGCGCAAAGCGATGAGTGTTCGAGTGTAGATTTTCTAGAAACTTAGTTCTTCGGATGGCGCTGTCGGTTGAAAGATTTGTCATGTCATTTTCTGCAAAGCTCGCTCTCGTTCCTGACACTAGATGGCGCTAGTGTATGACGTTGACTTATTTACGCAACACTGCCCCCTCCTAAGACATGCTCGTCCCGAGCATTATCGGTCCCATAATAACGCGCCAAGCGATCCACATGGACGATCTTAGGAGTCCCCTTTGCGCCTTTCTGTAACGGCTCCGCAATGTCAAGGGATGTCCTATCCCGTGGTGCACCAACATTGTACAATTTCGATGCTCCTCTACTCCGTGTCTGAGGTCCCCTCACAGCCGCACAACTTGTACATGTACGACACCAATCCTCGACATCGTCACGATAATGGACCCAGTAAAACTGTTCTCGGACCTTCAGTAGAGTTCGTTTAACTCCCAGATGGACTCTTGAACGACCATTATGGCACAGCTGTAGAACATTCGGCACTTTAGCTTTAGGGACAACCATTTGCAAACGACAGCTGTCTCCTCGACCATTGTCCCATTTACGGCACAGGACTCCATCCTGAAGCAGCAAGCTGTCCCATTGGGCCCAATAGCTTTTCGTGGTTGAACTCATCGCTGAGACGTCCCTCCACTTAGGCTTGGTAGCACGGGCCTTCATCCATCCCAGAATCGGCTTGATGTCCGGATCTTCCTGCTGATGCACTCCTATGTCGTAGGCTGTCCTTCCACCCGTTGCTGAGGTGGTCTGTCCTGAGCATCCTCACAGATACCACTTCCTTACTCTCTTGCCTACTACAATGGTTGCAATCTTCAGGAAAAGGTCTTCTTGACAATGCATCTGCTTTGCCGTGAGATTTCCCGCTGCAGTGTCTGATAGTAAAGTCGTATTCCTGCTGCTGCGGGGCGGTGCTGTTAGCCGCACTTCCTTTCTGAGACCGTTCACCTTCCCTTCCTAGGGTGTGCTTAGGGCAGCTGGACCGAAGATGGCCCCTTTCCCCACAGCCATAGCACCTAGGGCTGTATCCTTTATTGTGGTCGCGAACCGTAACTGCTGCAACCTCCCTAGCGTGAGGTGAACGATGATCCTGTCGCCGCCAGGCAGTGCCGTTAGCTGCACTACCCTCCTGATATCGTTCACTTTCCCTTTCTGCGGTTCGCTTAGGGCAGCTGGATCGAAGATGGCCCCTTTCCCCACAGCCATAGCACCTAGGGCTGTATCCTTTGTTGCGGTCGTGAACTGTAGCTGCTGCAACCTCCCTGACACGATGGGAACGATGATCCTGCCGCACGGCTTCCACCTCCAGTGCATGGGCCAAGGCGTCCTTAAGCGTCTCGTGGTGCCCGAGCCTCACAGCAGCTCTGACTTCCAGGTCACGGATGCCGTCGATGAATGTCTGCATCAGGTTCCCTTCAATGAGCGCAGGTACAGACCGGTATGCTTTTCGCACCAGCTTTTCCACCTCCAGAGCCCATTGCTGCAGGTTTTCGTTGATGCGCTGCACACGATCTTTAAGCTGCGCACGAAAGACGTGTTCCAGGTGAGCGTCGCCATATCTCGCCTCCAATGCCTCAATGAGTTGCTCATAAGTCACTTCCTCACCGAGAGCTTCCAGAACTGTTAAGGCCTGGTCGCGCAGGCCTAGTGTGAGAGCAGTCATGGCCTGACGTTTATTCCAGCCGTTCGCCTTCATAACAGCCTCGAACTGGATCTTGTAGGCTGACCAGGCTCTCGTTCCTGACACTAGATGGCGCTAGTTTATGACGTTGACTTATTCACGCAACAATAGAATGCCTCTTTTCCAGTAAAAGGGTCTCCGAAACTCTACACTCACCATACGAAACAGCAGCATTAAGCTGCTATTTTATGCTGGTATTCTGTGATAACGATGTCCTTCCCAGGTCTAATAATATATAGCTGTAGCATGGTTCTTCCACGTATAAATATATTTACCGGTTTCACGTTTCTTGTTACCTCTTTCCAGGTTCAGAAAATGCTGCGACCACCAATATTACATCATGTGCGAAGGGCCCATTCGGCCACGTGGAAGAAAAACCCTAATGTGAGTTAATTTTATTTTTAAATAACTAGCACCTCGCTATTATTCCAGCTGATGTTAAGTCTGTTGTATTTATTCTCTCGATGACACATTGTATTCGGATGGAAATACTAAAGGTGGGTCTACACTAGACGAGCCGAGCATGAGCCAAGCACAAATTCGTGTAGTGTGTGACCGACTTACAAGCCTCGAACGAGCGCGCTTCGAGCGTTTGGTTCGTGTTCGACTGTGCTCCGCTTATTGTCGGTTTTTTGACGAACACAAAGGGATTTACATGTTGTAGGCTCGTTGTACGTCGTCGTTCCTTCTAGCGTAGACCCACCTTAAGATGCAGGTAAATCCTTTGCTGTACTCATTTTAAATGATGAAGTTGCTTCGTCATTAATATCAGTTGGAGACAAAGGAAATTCACCATGCGTCTTCATACCTCAATACCCTAAAATGTATGCTTAAAAACGTGCGAAGTTATTTCGAGAACGTGTCTGTCTGTGATCGAGGCTGAAAAGTTTGTCAGATAACAGATTAGGGTCACCTATATCACATTAAATGGCTCTTGGCACTTTTCTCCACTGAGTCCGAAATTAGTACTTATATGTGGCAACTGCACTCCACAACACTTGGTTTATTTCAAAGATACATTATGGAAAATAAGAGCCAAGGTGAACAAGCTCTATATTATTGAGGTTAGAGATTGTCTGAAACGTGAAATTCATAGTGTGGCTGTGGCGCCGATGTCGTTGCGCCACAAGCAAAACACATCGGAGCCTAAATCGCACTATTAAAGTTCCGAAGTAAAAACAGTATATATAGAATAGCTCCGAACTTCATTCGGGGCGTTGGCCGCTCCCCGGGCAGAACACCTTGCCCGACGAGAAATCTCCCCTTTTCCTTCCACGGCCACAGTGGTGACCCCGAAATCCTACGGCCAAATGGTCATTCGAAAGTTTTAATATTAATTACAAAACTGTAATACTCAAATATCTCCTCATCTGTACCTACTTTTATTCTTGTTTTTCTCAACTTTAGTTTTGATCTGGTTGGTTGAGCTACCTTTCGCAAATCCACTGCCGAACATAGACCTCCCTCCAAATATTTCATAAAGCTCAGTGAGCCTTCCGCATCCATCTACTTCCTGTGTCTTCTACTAGGTTTTAACTCCATCTACTGGTGGGCCGCCGTACACTACGCTTATAGATACGAGTCTGCCACTCGAGAACCTTTCATCCCTATTTGTTGTATGTTCTTCGAGCTATATGGTCGGCCCATTGTTATTTGAGCTTAATGATCTGTATCTGCAGCCATAGATTTATAAGCTTTAAAAAATCGTGTGAATTATATGTCAAGACATAAGTATGTATCAGCCATCAAGGATAACAAACATTCTTCATAACAGCTGGACAAAATAATACGCGTGGACCACGCTGGCGAACTGGGTGCAGATCGTATATACGCGGGACAGATGGCTGTTTTGGGTAATACGGCCGAGGGACCACTGATACAGCACATGTGGGACCAAGAGAAGAAGCACCGGCAGAAGTTCGAGGAACTCATCTGCAAGTACCGCGTGAGGCCTACAGTGATGACGCCTCTGTGGAATGTCGCCGGATTTGCCTTAGGCGCTGGTAAATAACGAATATTAAAAAAATAATTGATTCAATTATACAATTGGCGCCCATATTTTTATTGAAGGCATCTGTAAACGCAGGTCTTCATTTTTTATATTAGAGTAGCAAATGAACGAACTGACGATCTGATTGTAATTGCGTGTCCATTAAAGCCTGAGTGTTCAGTGGGACGTTTAGTAAGGAATTCCATGGAGTATTCGGTAGTGTTCCTATAGTGAATGATGTAATATGAAGTTATGGTGACTGCGCGATGCGCTGGTGTTTTATGGGATATTGTTTTTTTTTGACAGAGATAAAATTTTACTATGTCAAACTATGGTTTGAATCATGGACAGCAATTATTTAACCCTTTAATCCCCATAAAAAATCCCATGCAGTCGCATGCGCCCGGCAAATCCCGAGCGGTCGCATGCGACCGCACCCACCCGCAGCACTTAAAACCATTAAAACTTATATTTAGAGACTACTTTTCTATGAAGAAGTTTGACACTATAAAATCTATACAAAATTCTATATATAAAAGTCAGGTTCAAGAAAAAACTATCAAGCGAATGTCGGCAGCTTGAAAATCACAATTATTTCAATATAGATTACTCGAAATTATTTACGTAAAAAGATAAATTATATTAACACAAAAACTTTCATTACAATTTTATAATAAAATACTATACTAAGACACTAGAAAAATCCAAAAATCAACGCAATAACATTAATGCGAAAATGGCGTACGTAATGAACGTAGATTATAAATAAATATCCATAGGATAACTGTTTTTTTATTGCACTAGAAGATAGAAAATTTTATATTGATTCTATAATGCCAAACTTCTTAATAGAAAAGTAGAAGTAGTCTCTAAATATAAGTTTGAATGATTTAAAGTGCTTTAGGTGTGCGCGGTCGAATCTGACCGTTTTAATTTTGACCGAATAGTGCCGGGGACGAATTCGACCGCTAAGAGATTGAAGGGTTAACCCCTGAAAGTCCACTTTTGCACATAGGATTCTCTTTGTAGAATAGATGTTCCTTACTCGTCAAATTCCCCATTATTGCATGTTAACAATAATAATGTCCTTAATATCTAATTTCGATCACTGCGGCCAGTTTCAACGAAGACTAGCCATCTACGCAGGACAGGAATATAGTGTACAAGTAAGTATACGCAGGCACAGGTGCACTCTCTATTCCCTCACTCTCATATCCCGACAGGACGGTGATCCAACACGACCGGAGAGAGATCGGGCGCACAACCAACGGCCTTACGTGCTTTCCTATACCCCCGTGGGAATAACATCGGGCTGCCACTCTGAGAATTTCTCAGAAAATCCAATAACTAATTCCAATTGCATGTTAACGCAGTTTCCCGATGAAATAAGTTTATGGATTCTCTAACCCTGTTACCACACGGCTTGGTGGATGGGTTAAGACATTTTTATTTGCTCATGTATCGGCACGTGATGGCGAAAGGATTAATCATGCTAACATTTGTGCATAAAAAATTTGTTTTCAAGTCTGGGCGACTTGTAATTTGTGTTTGTCATTGCAACGAAGCTTGTTTTCAACTTTATCGTACAAGCCGTTACATTTGACCAGAACACGGGCAGCTTCTAAAAGAATAATAGCAGTAGGTATTCATAAAAATCAATTTATGAAATTTAACAAATGTATAAAGTCGATCTCACTTTTTCACTAAATAAGCGATAATCAACGATCATAAGTAAGGGCGTAAGTGTTTCTGTAATTTTATCTACATTTGTAGCACTATAATAATATATCCTGTGCCGTTGACAACTTTTGTCTATCGAAATAAGAAAAAATACCCCAATAATAATTGCAGGCACTGCACTTTTGGGCAAGGAAGCCGCGATGGCCTGCACTGTCGCGGTCGAGACCGTCATAGTGGACCACTATAACGACCAGCTCCGCACCCTGATGGAGGACCCGAACGTCGACAAAGAGATCCTGGAGACCATCACGAAGTTCCGTGACGAGGAGCAGGAGCACCACGACACGGGAATCGACCACGGCGCAGAACAGGCACCATTTTATAAAGCGCTCACTGAAGTTATTAAAACTGGTTGCAAAGTCGCCATAGCGATATCAAAGACTATATAGAATATAATATGAAATTGAAAATAACCTCTATGAGTGTAATAATTGTAAATGAAAAACAGATTATTAAAAATTTCAGATTTCGAACAATATTTTCTATAGTAAGAATCTACAACTGTGTTCTTGCTACACATCTAAAAGCTTCTCAGTACATATAATTACGTAACATTTTTATGGTTAATGGATGACATGATATAGACAGAATTTTTATGAAAATAAAAATAAAATAAGAAACAAAATTATTTATATAATAAATATAATGTTATATATTATAATTTTGTAATCAACGAGCACAAATTATAATTTCAACAAACAACAAAAATTATAATGTTGTAACAAAAATATACTACCATTTCGCGCAATCTCTATTCCATATGACATTTCTTTCTCTTTCTTAAAATGAGAAAGATATATATCCGATATTAGTACATCCGTCTAGGAAGGAAACAATGTTGTCAATCCATCTCTCCCTCCTTTGCTTACCTCTGCGCCTTCGACATTCTTATAGTGTCCAAAATCAAGTGAAGCTTCCTTCAAGAAAAGAGCCTACTCTTTTTTTTTAAAGGCCAGCAACGCACCTGCAATTCCTTTGATGTTGCAGTTGTTCGTGGGCGGCGGTAGTCACTTATCACAGAAATCTAATCATTTAGATTTCTGTGTCACTTACCATCAGGTGAGCCGCATGCTCGTTTGAACCCTCTCAAATAAAGAAAGAAAACAAGTTTCGTTAGTTTGTTCTATTCGGTGTATCGGTTCCATACGGCACATATGCCTGAGTTTGTTACACTTTAGTTTAGAAATCTTCATTCCAACAACATAAGACAACTAGTGCCTTAATTAAAGGCTCATGTATGCGTTTTTTGTATACATTAATCGATTTTCGCCTTACTTGTTATTGAAAGCTACTAGCAAGCCTACTTACGGCTTCCATAAAAATTTCGTTAACATAAGTGCCTGACATTTTACTTCGTATTAAATTTTTTGCTATTCGTTATTGCGTTTTTGGATGATTCATCAAAATCCAGCTATAAGTTTAACCCACGCTTATGATGAAAGAACGATGATTGTATTCTTAAACCAAAAGACATCCAGGAAGTTGCCAATTTTTAAATACATCGTTCTGATAATTTGTGCAAATAGGAGGTGACGGAGTTACCAGAAGTCACGATTGTATTGTTAAGTATCATCTCAGAAACAATTGTTGTAATAACTTTTAACTTTTATTTGTGAATAACTCTGTGCCTTTTTTACATTTATAAAGCTCAAACGTAATTAACCTTTTGAAAGGCAATAGAATTTACCAAGCATTTTACCAAGAGGTGTTGTGATAATAGTAATATAGGCAAATAGATGAAACAAACGACCTGAAATGTCTACATTCTGAATTTACATGAATATAGGTTTGATTTTAATAAATGTTTTAATTATTACGTAAATTTATACAATGATTTTCCTTGTGATGAAGGCGTATGAAGGTCCATCAACTACCTTCGTTTAAGTAATTTAAATTCAGAACCAAGAAGATCTTTCGAGATTCAACGGCAACAATACGCAATAACTATTTAATGAATACACCTATCACCAGATTTCAAAAATCTCGACATGAAACATAACGTAATCGAGAACAGTAAAGTTCGGACTGTAATATAGCGAAACACAATCCACTCTGATGCATGGCATAGCTGTGTGAGAGGCAATACGTTGGTATATACTGAATTATTTCTAGATTCAAGTTCGATTTTGATTAAGAATACGTTAAAAACGGCTAATCCTCGCGATGAAATTACAGCGGAGTTTCTGTAAGCGGGTGGAAAACCAGTACTTGAAGTCCTTCAGAAGCTCTTTAATTCCGTCCTCCATGTTAGGACTACTCCGAGGCGTGGAGCAGGTGCGGTGATCTTATTCTTCAAGATAGGCGACAATTCTCTCAAAGAATTACAGACCGATTTGATTTCTTTCGACAGTCATTCATTTTCGAAGTTGCCTCGCACGCAGACTCGACGACTTCCAACTTCCCGAACAAGCCGGTTTCTAAAAAGACTTTAGTGCCATAGACTACATAAATACCCTTCGGCAACTTGTATAGAAGACCGCAGAGTATAATCTATTTTCCTTTCGTGTGTGGACTAGTAAGCCTTTGATTCCGTCAAAATTTGGACTGCGTTACAGTCCCTTCAGGTATCGAAGTGCTGAAGTGTTTGTACAGTAGCTCTACGGTGGCAATCCGAGTACAGAAACAGAGAACGAAAACCTGGCCAACTACAGAGAGGTGTAAGACAAGGTGACATTATATCCCCGAAATCCTTCGTCGCTGCATTGGAAGATGTTTCCAAGCTACTGGACTGGAAAGGATACGGTATTAACATCAATGGCGAGTACATCACTCACCTTCAATTTGCTGACGATATCACCTGACCTCAATAGTGTCTCTCAACGGATAAATCTTAAGATGAATAAGGAAAAAAACAACGATCTTGTGTCACACCTATGACTGTAGTTGTTGGGAGCACTCGGAAGTTGTTGACGAGTGTGTTTACCTGGGATAAATAGTCCGATTAGATAAGTCCAACTTTAACCAATAGGTCAATCGACGGATTCAACTTGGCTGGGCAGCGTTCGGATAATTACGACATATCTTCTCGTCGGGTGCACCTCAAAACTTGAGCTCAGGCTGCCCCGCATATTCTGGGTGGAGGGCGGGGTTTCAAAATTCCGCTCAACACATCACGCTAGCAGTGCAACATCAGGGAACTTCATTTGAACCTTAAGGCCGTCCACTACGATCTGGAGACGGCGAAGCCGGCCTTGCTCTTATTGACCGAGGCACAGGTGTCCTCTCCGGCTGATACTTTGTACCTGTCCTACTCAGGGTACTTTTTTATGAGCGCAGGGAATCTCGGAGTTATTGTTACCGTCAAATATCTAATAATCTAATATGAGAAAAGGTATTCGGGCTACATATTTAACTTTGTGACCGGTTCTGAGAACTCATGCGATGCGTACACTAAAAAACAATAGCGGCAGTCGCTTATTGAAAAGAAACTCGCGTTAATCCTACCTTATTTCTCTATATGAGCCTTACCAAAAAAAAATTGCAATTAACAATTCATTGTGCCCTTACTCCTACTTTGAATTATACAGAATGTACAAAATTTATAAAAATTGACTGCCGCATGCGTGATAATAAATCATCATTTAAGAACGGTTTGACCGATTTTGATGATAATTTTTGTGTTTGAATGGGTCGCAGGATGGGTTAGATTCGTAATTGGACCCAGTAGGTGTCGCTATTGTTGAGAACCAAGAATCACCCGTGCGAAGTTGGAGCATTTAATTTAATCCGAAATTGATTTGTATAAAATTGATTTGTAAATACTGATGTGTGTTTATAGCATATACGTGTATATTTATAGCGTAACGTAATCTCGATAAATCGAACCTCATTAGTCGTAATCAATTAGGAAGACAAAAAAATTGCCATTCCGTTCCGCTGAACCCCTAAATATCCGATATATCGACTTATTATTTAGATTTTTGAACTTGATTTGAACAAAATGTTTATTTCCCTGCGAAGTATTGATAGTACATATTCATACTCTATAACTCGAATTTCAAAAAGCTGACTCCCTAAGTCGAAGTTAAGAATAATAATAAAATCCAAAAGGAATGTTTATCGCGTATGTTTTTTTTGTGTGTACTTTATACATGTGCAATGAATGAATACATTTATTAATTTTTTTAAGTCACACATCTGTGTAACTCGAAGTTTTTGTTAAGTTAAAAACTCGTTAACTCAATTTTATAGCATTCTCTTGAAATTCGAGCTATCGCGATTCTACTTAATTTGTGTGTGATTGTTTATGTGAATATGTGAATAGTGTTATGGTGTGTTATGTGAATGCGTGTTAGTGTATGAAAATACATGTAGAAAATAGTTCGTAGGGAGAAGTGGAGAGAGATGGAGAAATATGTGTACCTCCTTCGCAATGTCGTCCCTGGTAGCCGGGCGGGCAGGAGCAGAGGCCGGGCGCAGTGCAGTTGCCGCCGTTCATGCACTGCGGATAGCACAGCGCCGTGCGGCAGTGCTGCCCCATGTAGCCCTCGGGGCACTGGCATATCTTCTCGTGGTTGCACCAGCCCTGGTTGGCGCACTTCTTGTCGCACTCCGGGTCCGGCCCTGTGCGCCCCACAACTTTCGTTTTAAACCATTGAACGAATATATAATACACACTAGAAGAGACACCTTGACTTGGTCGTTTGCAACACGCGCTAGAGCCCACGCACTCAAACTTACTTTTTTATATAAGGATAAGGATATCTTACAAGCACAGTCCACCTGATGGTAAGTGGATACTGCGGCTCTATATCCACGATATCCATTTATCATTATCGTGTTGTCATCCCATCCTCGTTTTCAACCGTGAGGAATTATTTGGAATGCCTCGTTTCCAGTAAAAAGGGTCTCCGGTTCTCTACACTCACCTTACGAAATACTGCTGTGTTTCAGCTAATATTTTAAACCCCGCGCTCATATAGCTAATTAGTTGTAGTACCGCGTTAGTGTAAAAAATAAGATGAAATAGTACTTTTTTTCTAATAGTTATAAAACTGCTCAGTATTTTACAGGGAGAATAAAGTGTTTTTGCCGAGTTATTTTCCATTCTGTTTCATGTATATTCACGTATATTTATACAGGACCATGTGCACTTTATTCTCCTAAAATGAATTGTTTTTTATCAATTATATTATGCATAAAGGTAATAAAAGAAATACATATTTCGATAATTGTTATTACAAAGCAAGCGTGTACCAACCTAAAAACGCAAATGCTGTGAGCAGAGGCACCGTGAATTCAGCCAATCAGCGTACTCGATGGAAAGGCACCCGGAAAATAACGCATTCTGGTTAATATACGTCGGCGTACATAGCCGAGATCATAGTTTTAATTGCAATATTAGTAGGGTATAACAAAATAAAATACTCAAATGAAATTTCAAAATTGTAATAAATGCAATATATTCTTATATATATTAGTAAATATGAACAATGAATATTAAGCATATAGTAAGAAAAAGTTGCAAACATAACTATTACAATAAATTTTATGTTCTTGAGTTGAAAACAATATAATATTAAAACATGTATAGCTGCTTGAGATTGATAAATTTTATTTTAATCAGCGTATGAAATGAAAGGCTAAAACCTGTTTTTTAACTAAAGTACAGATCGAGACTGTTTTATATATTTTTTAAATGGATCGTTCGGTATATTTAAAAACCACTAAACAATTCTTTTACATCCACAGCTTGCAGTCAAAATACCAGGTCTCATTTCTTTTAAAATGCTAAATATTCCTTAATATTTTATTGTTATGTCTCCACCACGAATTATTATGAAGGATTGTTTAAAACATTTATTCATTAAAATCGATAACAATAGGCTCATAAAACGTCAATTACCGTATTGTTCGAGCCAGCACACGGGCTTTGGTGTATTTAAACAGGATAACACTAACAGTGACTGGTTGTAGCTTGTAGCAGCTATACTTTAAATGACGGTCAATAAATTTATTATTAGTTACATAAGCGACGCTTGTAGGTGGAAATAGTTTAAATGCAATGTTTCGTAAGTAATTATTGCGTCTGTTTTCACATGATTCACGATTACTAACAAAGCTGCGAGATTTAATAGATTATGATATTTTGAAAGCAGTAAAATATTTGTTATGGGATAATCAGCAAAGAAAAAATAAAAAGCGTTACACCTGTGTTTCTGATATTGCTTTTTTATGTTTTATATTCTATAGTAATTAGTAACTAGCATTACAAAAATACATTTCTTTGAAGAATTCTTTATTTTGAAATTGTTAGCCTTTTACTTCAGAAGTATTTTTTATTTATTTGATAAAAATATTTTTATCTTGGACAATAACAGAAACTCAAGCGTTGTAGTGTTAAAAATGCGTGGGCGATACAATACCTGTCCTTTCTAAATACACACCTCTCTGTGCGCATTCCTTCTTTAGATTTAACCTTAGAGGGGTGCCTTTTAGTGGTATGCCTCGGCCATTTTTAAGCACAAGCCCTATTTCAAATGTCGCCACGCCACTGTTGTTGCCCAGGCATATCAAAAATATACTGAACTCTGTGAACAATACTTTTCTAGTTAAGTACAAAAAATTATTTTGAACATCCTATATATATATATATATATATATATATATATATATATATATATATATATATATATATATATATATATATATATATATTTTTAAAATTTTTGCAATGGTATCATTATTTGTTTTTAAGACATACGAGACGAAAATTATTAAATATTTATACCAAGTTAAAATTGACTTCAAAGAACTAAAAAGACTAAAATATTTTGCACATACGAAAACGAGGGTTTACTGTAATAGTTTCTGAAGTCAGCGCTATGAGATAGTATTAAAGAATGAATGCCGCAGTTTAATACTCAAAGCTCAGGATAAATGAATGAAAGCTTCAGAAGCCATTAAATGAAAATTGTTTTATTGTTTTAGTTCCTTAAAGGCGGTTTTTACTTTTAATTAAAAAAATATTTTTTCAACTCTTGAATGAACTAAGAAATATCACAAAACCTAAAGTAACAAATTAGAATACAAATTAAACGGTTACATTAAAAACTCCGTGGTCTATTTGAATTTTTGAAGTTAGGGAATTTTTCTTCAAAATAAAAGAAACTACATTAAATTTGAGGGAAAATTAATTCATTGATTCATGATCGACTTGAGCTCAAATGATAAATAAAACTAATTTTACGGGTTTTATTGCGTTTAATTTCGACTTTTAATCATTGAGGTATTACTACTACGTATAGAGAAGACAACGCCTTGCATGATTTTGCGCCACGCTTTGCGGTACATTGTACCGCAACTGTTTAGTGAGTGTCCAACGCCCGCACAGACGAGTCGTGTTCATTTCGCATAAATAATAACTTCAAAATGCCTGGTTGTAAAAAAAACTAAATCCTAATGCACACTAGCGCTGCATGTTTTAATAGTTTGGCTAGACGACGTAATTATCATTTTAGTGCTGCAGCGAACTTTAGTTCTAACTCTTACCAAAATTAAGCAAACTTTTGGTGCGAAGTGTCTGTTCTATACGCTAGTAATATAGTTCGATGTTTTTAATTCCCGACATTTCGGGTGCTTTATAGCACCCATAGTCACGGTGTGAGACTGGGGTATTTGACGTCCCGATGTCATAGATATAACCCAGCTACTTTCAGTTTTAGAATATTCATTTTTCCGATATACGCAGAATAAGCTTACAATAAACACTAAAATACAATTGACAATGCAGAGGAGAAGTTAGAGGCGAATAATTCTTTAGCTTTCCTAGATGTTTTAGTCATTCGAAATCCTGATAACACTATTGGTCACACTGTGTAGGGAAAAACCCATACCAACCGATATTTAAACGGTGAATCTCATCACCATCCTTCACAGTTAGCTACCGTGGGAAAATCTTTGTTTCAGAGAGAGTAAACTCCTGGCCATCGAACTTCAGCACGTCAAGCAAGAATTGAAAGACAACAAGCTTCGGGTCCCGCGCCTACGCGTGTACCTGCTGTACTACCATACCCTTATTCTATAAAAAAAGTCAGAGGAGTGACTCCTCAAGACAAGATTGGCTACACCTACCTTGAAAGAGCTTCTATTAAAACCTACTATGAGCCGCCGAAGAAGGTTACTCAATTTTTACTATCCGTTAAGTAATTATATATATATATATATAATATAATAAAAAAAAATTGAGTATTTATATATATATATATATATATATATATATATATATATAGTAATATCCCTCTACAAGATGCAAGAGTGTGCAACCTGGATTGTGAATGTGGTCTCCCATATATAGGACAAACAAAAATATCTATAAAGCCCGCGTAAAAGAACATATAGCTGACGTGAAGTACCGACGCTCCGGGAAGTCCGCAGTCAATTAACATGTTCAAGATCGTCCCTGACATTTCATTAGATTTGATAAACCACAAATCCTCGCAAACCGAATACCGATTTACCGAAATTAAAAAAAAAACATCCTAATTTCAATAGAGAAGATGGCTGGGTGCTGCCATCTGCTTGGGATACTATAATCAATAAAATTAAATCCAAACCCAAGCATGCCGCTGCAAGACTTCAAGATACTGTAAGCTCATTCTGCCTATATCGGACCAAAAATTAATATCTAAAACTGAAGGTAGCCGGGCTAACTGTAAAATCGGAATGTCAAACACCTCAGTCCTCCCCGTGACCATGGTTGCTATAAAGACCTGCTACGTCAGGATTTAAAAACCAAAATTAAACGCGATAAAATCCGTACAATTTGTTAGTTAACCACTGCTGAACACAGATCTCCCCAATGAATCACCTCATGTAGGGGCTTTTGCCATAGTTGCCACGCCTGGCAACAGCAGATTTTTCGTATTATTGAGTTACAGTCAGAGAAACAGTCGTACTGTCAAAGGAACGTTTCGTGCAATCCCCTACTATATGGAGTGACATCCTGGTAAAGCATGCCAGGGAGTCTTTCGTTGTATCGCCGAATGTTTGACCTTATAGATGTCAGTTTTTTTCATTCAAAAAGCAAAAAAGCAAGCAATTGCTATTATGTTATTATAACATGGATAACGTCTGATATTTGTTGAGAAGTTTTCTTTTAATTTGGTTAATCTTCACATTTACCATCAAGTGAAACTCGCGTTCGAGACGTTTCTCAATATCTTTTATTTAATAAAAAATAAACAAAAATGGAAGATACCTTTCGGAGCTTTAGGCACCCGCCCTTGAGTTTTTATAGAGAGGACAGGCGGCTTCAACAACTTCGGATCGGAGGAAGTCAGCGTGTCGAAGTTATAGTGATAACGCTTCTTGGAGCGCCACGTGAAGTTCACGTAGCCGACTTCCGACGGGATCGTGGGCAGCTTGTGTGAAAAATTGGGATCCAATATGTACGGTGATATGTGGCCATTGAGTATCGCGAATACTTGCATAGATATGCCTGTAATTGTAAAATTGATTATATAATTACGACAGGTTTAGTTTTTTTAATCATCGTCACCATAGATTTCTTCAAGGGGGTGACATTTGCCATAGTTTTAATCAGGAAGATTAAAATAATACAAATTAACGCTCATCTCCCATCCCATTCGAGATAATGAGATAGGAGATGAGCAACTACCGTAAGAGGCAACAGAGGTGTCGCCTCTCACAGTTCCCAGTAGTATTGTTTTTGTGAGGTTTAATTGAATATTTAAAACCACCATAAATAAATTACTAAATTATATAATTTTACTTTTCAACTTGTTTATCGTTTTAAGCAATCTGTTTGATGTAAAGAGTCTTCAAACCTCCAAAGCCGAGCTATAATTCTACGCGCGTTATTTTTTAAATCGTAAATGCGATTTAACATAACATTACCTGGTACTTGGTTATGGTGGCACCGTATGATTATCCATCGCCATTAACCGCATGGTGGCGATATTATAAAATATCATCGCCCCATTCCAAAACCCATGGGTGCTGTACGAGGGAACTATGAGAAAGGCCAGAGAGATCTCGTGGGTCTTCGATAGATAATAGTATACAAGCTTGATATAGTAGTATCTAGATGTAGGAAGATGTAGGAGCAAGCGACTCCACAAATATTTTAGTTTATGTGTGATTCGCTGCTAAACGTAGGGAGAGGCCAATGTTTAATTTACATGTCTAATAACATTATTTAATCTGTGGTTTAGCTGTCAACTACTATGACAGGCTGATAAAGAAGACTAAATAATTTAAAAGTCGAGTCCTTATCAAATGCGTTACTATTTACTTTCGAAAAGGAATGTATAATAATACATAGTTTTATATAGAATAGGGGTGAGGGTGACAAACGAGCGTACAGTCCACCTGATTGTTTTGTGGCCTATATACACCGACATCTGACCTCCATTAAGATTCAAAATGCATGTACATTATGAATCTCAATTGTCAACTGCTACTTGAAAGCTGTATTCTGTGAGAGCGTAGACCTTTTCGTTCTGCAAACATAAAACAGCCTGCAGCGTAGCTCTATTTCGTAGATACAATCATAAGATAAAAACTATCTTAATTTTTATCTTATGATTGTATCTACGAAATTTTAATCATAATATTTTGATTGTTGGACATAAATATACTGAATGACCTTTTTTACCGTCTGGAAAAAATAGGGTGTAACATGTGAACGGAGTAGAAGTCTATGGCACTAATCTTTTATCAAAAATAAAAACAAAAATTTTGAATTAAACGTTTGAATTTTTTTTTTGAACAATTACTTTGCCATTTGCCCTTGAGTCTTTGACACTACGAAGTGATAAAATCAAAGACGCCTACTAAATTGTTTAATTGCCGTTCGTAAAGTATGGTGGATATGATTTGAATTTCGACAGATTTTAATTAATTTATTACAACACTTCGTTTTTATTTTTTGTAAAATATCAGTGCCATAGGCTTCTACTTCGTTCACATGTTACACCCTATTTTTTGCAGGCGGTAAAAAAGATCATCTAGTTATATCCTGGCAGAGTCACCATATAATGATGGAAAAAGAGAGGATATAGTAAGTCAGCGCAAATTCTAATTTCGTCCCCACTTCCCCGCGCGTCGTATGCTATGTACCGACATGTTTGTAATCATTAATACTGTAAGTAGATAGGTCGTTAGATACATATTTCATTAGGTTTATCACATTTATGCCTGTTTCTTAACGCCAACCTAGTCGCTTCTTATTTTTATTACGGTTATTTCCCATTTTAATTTTACGTCGTCCTGTTGCGTAGTGTGTATTCTGATCGTAAGCGACACAACCTCCCCCTTCAAAGGCCGAAGCGAAACTGAGACAGAGTGGTCTCTTCTCTAGTATATATAGTCAGTAATCTATGCTGAGCGGGCGGCAGGAATCAAGCTTCAAGAAGCCGATAGTTTAGGTAATTTCTTTTTACAGTGAAAATAATGGTATTTTAAAAAAGTAAATAACATAAGCACTGCTTTATAGTTAGCTCAGTTAGTATGCAAAGTTTCATGATCTTATTTAAAGTATTTTATGAATAACAGCGGTTTATTGTTTATTTTGGAGGTAACTTTGGATTTTTTTCTATCGAGAAAATTTTACAGAATCGTGTTTGCGTCTAACATAGTCCTTAACATTAATCCTCAACTTTACCATTAAACACTTTAATTTGTTAGCCATGAATTTCCGCTTAAGGCCGAATACGACGTGAATGACCTTGCTCGTTTCGCAGCAAACCACGCGCCGCCAGTACCTACCTACGCTTTGTTTATATAGACATGTATAATACCTATAATCAAAGCCGTACGGGCTTTGATTATATTTGACGGAGCTAGCTCAGATGCAAAGTAATGAACAACACAGAGAGCATTGCTTACTTCTTAAATAAATTTTTCTTATTTATAATATTAGTTCCTATAGATTATAACTTCTGTACTTTATTCGTTATAAAATATTGTTCGTAAAGTTATTGAATTGTTAAGAACCTCATATAACTGAAAATGTTTGTTCTTGTGAGTCTTACAAGATGCCGTAATGCAAATTTCATAAATAATAAAGAAAAAAAAAACTAAAAAGTCGGTGATTGCCCCATAGTGGGGATAGGTACTGTATATGTAAATTCTCACAAGACTACTCCGACTGGTCAATCACTTCACATCCGAAGTATTTCGGTTTTTCTTAATTATGTACTTTTACCCCATGCTTTCGGACAATACATTGACTGACATTATTTGCGGTCTCTGTGCTTGCACTACTCTGTACATTCTTTTCCGACTGGGTCTTGATATTTTACATTTTTAGTGTTTCTCACTTGAAACTAGAAAAGTATAAATGATCAGTTTGGCTAATGTAAATGAGTTAAAATGCAACCTATTAGGCAGCCTCAAACAAAAAATTACCTTACAAAAATATAAGTATTAACCTCAAAATACAACATTCGAGCAGCGATCATGCGATAAACTCTCTTTGTTTTACCACTTGGTAACATTTATTTCCTTTTCCGACCCATATTTACATTTATAGACACTTAAACGCGTATAAAACAATAAATTAACGATTTTCGCTACAGACACATCGACTGTTGTTGTTATCTTACGTCACACGTCGAAGCGCCTGGTAATTTATTACGGCAAACTTTTATCTGGCAATATACGATATTATTATTAGGTGTTTTTAATTAAAACTTAAACGCGTATAAAACAATAAATTAACGATTTTCGCTACAGACACATCGACTGTTGTTATCTTACGTCACACGTCGAAGCGCCTGGTAATTTATTACGGCAAACTTTTATCTGGCAATATACGATATTATTATTAGGTGTTTTTAATTAAAACGAATTATGTTCATAAATAATTATATACCTTCGGAATCACAATACAAACATTTTTACGTAAAAGAATTTTTTCTAAATTAAAATTCACAGAGTTTTGGAAGAACAATAATTTTATATATCATTTCTTAACATTTTTTTATTTGTTGGTATATTCATTTATTTTAAAATTTTAAAATGACGGTGACCTTGTTAAGGACCCGAACAAACCTACAAAAATGTTTTAAAGCTTAGAATTACTTCAGGTCAAAGTTCTAGTCAAGAGAAATACATAAATTTTCGCCAGTTCTCTTCGTATTCGGCCTTAAGGAGACGTATTACGTTTAAAGTCATATAAAGAGTAACTCTTTATAAGACTAATAATACTGCTCACTTAACAGCTACGATTAACATTAATATAAATATACCGTCTTGGGAGCTACGCTACAGTTCCAATAATTTGTTGTCAAACCTACCACTAAACATGCGGACCTGTCGCTCGTCGATCCAGAGCGAGATATCCGAGGCCTGCTTGACGTCGAAGTCCTTGTAGTCGCGGCGGCCGGCCGTGATGCTCAGCGACATGGTGAGCGCCACGCCGGCACACAATCGCGCACTGGTCCACGCCCGTGGCCACCTCATCCTCAACTATAAAAACAAATGTCAAACGCGTCTTCAAGGCAAGAGTGGCTGAGGCTTTTGGTAAGCTAAGGCAGTGCGATTTACCATTAAGGGCTTCATCACCACTTGCCACCAAGTGGGATTGTGTCAAGCATTGTATTACGTAAAAACTTGGTTGACCCTGCAGGCCATCCCTGGAACTTCCCACAAATCTCAAATGCAAAGCGCACCAAATTTCACCAAATTATGTTGCGAAATCTGGAAGTTATGTTAAAAAAAGTTTTTTTTTCAAATTCTTTCTCCTTCGATATCTCACGAACGAATGAACCGATTTTTATTTTCCAAACGGCATTCGACGTCATTTTTTGAGGTTAAAGAGCTAATCAGTTTTGAAATCGATCGGTAAAGTCATTTAAAAGTTAACCAAAAAACAGTTTTTCAAAAACTTTATTTTTGAGATTTCTCAAAACCTACTCGTCCGATAAGGTTCATATTATCACCAAATATATTCCACATTGAGATCTTTAGAACGCCGCCAAATCGCATCTCAATCTATCAAGAGGTTCAAAAGTTATGAAAGGTTTACATACTTACACACATACATACATACATCCGTACGAAAGTCCACGTGAAATTAGTCAGAACAGCTTCCTGGGATCTCAAAACATCGAGATCTGATGAAAACTCGATTTTCAAAAATCAGGGCGAAACCAATAACTTCCCTTAAAAGAAAGTTAAAAAAACTGTAATTATCCAACAAGCGGAAGTTTGAGACAGTCATAAATTTCATATTAAGCGGGTTATTCGTTCGATCCCTGGAACGTGGTAGATATGGCGCCAAGAATCATGAAGAAATATGTACAAGGAGAAAAGAAGAGGAAAGTTTGCATTTTTGAGAAATATAAATTATTGACTTTCCCTACCTAATACAGTCATCTTTGCTTGACGATGGCTAAGAAGAAAAAGAAGCCCTTCATCATGTTTTCTTTAGTCTTTATTATTCATGAGAGCTGGTAATTGAGCCTACGTAAATAAAAATTAATAAATAAATTTGAAGAGCAAAACAGGGGAATACAAACCCATACTCTGTGCCCACGATTTTGGGAAGCAGATGGTGGCAGAATAAAACAATTTTTATTCAATAAAGGTAACAAGCAATATCTACTTATTGAAAGTGGTTCATGATTTTTATTGCACGAAACCCGGCTGGTACTTCCCAGGCCACAGGCTTTTTTTTTAAAGAATAAGGATGACAAGTAAGAGACATGTCCTTTAGCTCCTACTCTGTGAGAACGTAGTCCATAACGTGGCTGCAGCGTAGCTACCACGTTTAACTTTTTTTTTTAAATAATAATTTAATGTATTTCGTATAGTTAAAAAATACAAATATCATCAACAGAAATAATTGCAATGAATGTATTTTTTGAAGCAACTGTTCCCCGCGTGGAATTTATTACGATTGGAATTCATGTGGTTCTTTTGCGCGGAACACTAATTCTTTTACTAAAAAAAGTAGCTAAGTTAATTCTTATAACATTAGCTATCTGTCAGTGAAAATGCCAAAATCCTGTCAAAATCGGCCCAGCTATTTTGGGGATTAGCCGGAACAAATATACAGACAGACGGCAAGAATTTTATAAATATTTTTTTATAAGTATCGTATATACTTTCATATGCATTTAGTTAAACGCTGTTATTTTAATATTTCAAATAGACACTTCAATTTTAATTTATCTTGAAAATAAATTTCAATGTGTGAATTGATGGCTTCTGTAAGAATACATATATAATTTGACCCGTGACCAAGTGATATCCGTTACAACGACGCTTTTGCATTAAGCAAGATGCGGTTCGATGCTTGGGACTGGGGTGTAATTCTAGACTTTATAGCCGCATGATGTACTTACTCGTATTTATGCACACTGTAAGCGATTTTGTTGCAGTCGGTTAAAATTACATACGAAGATAATTTATTTTCGTTTCCTATCCGATAACAGAGCAAAAAATAGTTATTTTTTCTCACAAATAAGTATACTTTACCTTAGAATTTAGTGTACAGGTTTTTTGTCTAGGTAGGTACTTTACTTAGAATTATGATAGAGTTTGATTTAAATGTGTCATACATTTTACGAAGAACCGTGGTAGCTCTAGGACAAATCGCTAGCCGTAAACTTCACGGTACCCGAGCAACCTAGGTTCGATCCCCGTCGGCATCATTGAAATTTTTAATCGCTGTTATATTAGATATATTAAAGACTAGCTGTGCTCGCAACTTCGTTCGCGTAGTATACATTTTTAGTAATTTATTATTATACTTCCCTTTTAATTTTTTTTTAAATTGGTCCAGCCGTTTCGGAGATTAACCGGAACAAACAGACAAAAAAAATTATAAAATAGTTTTTTGTTATAAATACTTTTTCATTTCAATTATATTTATTGGTATAGATAATTTGTGACGAAAATTGCGCAAACGATGTTTCAGGCTAAAGCTCAAGAAATTGATATAGATATAAAAAATATATAAATAGATAAAAAATAAGTACCTACTAACTGAAAGTCACTCTTTTCTTTAATTTACCATACAATGTGAAAATAACAGCTTTTGACTGAATGCATATGAAAGTAAATACGGTACCAATAATAAAAAAAAAAAAAAACAATTTTTAAAATGTTTGTCCGTCTGTTTGTTCCAGCTAACCTTCGAAACGGCTGCACCAATTTTGACAGGACTTTCACTGGCAGAGAGCTGATGCTATAAGAAGTAACTTAGGATACTATTATTTTAGAAAAATTATTGGAGTTCTGCACAAAAAAAAAACTCGGGCGAAGTCGCGGGGAACAGGTTAGTAAAGTCATAGATTATTGAAGGTGATCTACTGTGTCAAGGTCACAGAGCCTTAAATTTCTCTCCTTTGTATGGTTTCATATTTTATCTCAAACATCTTAACATCTCTTTACTAGGTTTTACGACACTTTTTATGCTTAAGAGCATGGAGTATAGAGGTATTAAGAGTCTGTCTGGGTAGAGGTAGGTCGGTAGGTATGTACCTACCTACTTCTAGTACATACGTAAATACATACTTATTGTATATTATTGACTTGTATAGACTTTTTTCAGTCGAGAAATTCTCAGTAGCTGTCCGGAAGTTGGCGGTGTCTCACCCCCGTACCTCGGAAAGCACGTAAAGTCATTGGTCCTGTGCCTGATCTCTCTCCGGTCGTGTCGGTTTACCGTCCCATCGGATTATGTGAGTGAGGGAATACAGAGTGCACCTGTGCTTGCACATACACTTGGGCACTGTAATCCTGTCCTGCGCCGATAGCTAGTCTCCGTTGAGGCTGGCCGCTGTGACGGAAATTCGGCCTGAAGGACATTATTATTACGTACTTATTTCTGTCGTCAAAAATGAGTGGCTAAATTATGTTCTGGTCCCAAGGGTATAGAGATCTTTTACAATTACAGGTTGTGAGGATTTCCATCTTAGTCCTCAATGGTGACAACGCACCTGTAGGCTTCTTTGTCTGAAGTTGCTTGCGGGTGTCCACGGGCTGCTGTAGCCACTTGCCAACAAGTGGACTGTGGGTTCGTTGAAGTTTCATATTTAATTGTGATTCTTCCCGAGTCCAAATTGAACGCTCACATTTTGTAACTTCTGCAGTAATTCAGCAAACTCGGTTTTATTAGTTCCAGTCGGAAAAGTAACGTCGAAAACGAAGATTGTTCAAAAGTTTAGTTTTTCAATATTCCGCGCATATGTTCTCCGACAAGAATATATAGTTGCCGGATTAGTATGCATCCTTGTTCTTTAACCTCATTTTGAAGTGTTAGTAGCACACGCCGCTAAGTCAAACCTTTGACTGTAGTAGAAGAATTGGTGGTTTTTAAGCTCTGTATCTACTAAGCACAGGCTACCCTGTTTCACCTCCTCTGGGGTTGAATTTTCCAAAATTCTTACTTAGTGGGTATCTAAATAGAAGAAAGGGGTATATTTATATGCCTAATTTCAAGTCATCGGGCGTATAGTTAGTTTCGGAAATCTCGTGATGAGTGAATATCCTATCAAACTCGGTCCAACCGCTTCGGAGAGGTTCTATCGATTCATCTAAAGTTTATATGAATCGATTGACACCTCAATGTCCATCCAACCGTTCGGATCGCGGATATAAAGAACATGTAGTATTGAGGAATTATTTGTGCATAATTCTCAAATACTACACCTAAAAACCATAACCCTGTTAAGAATCACTTTGTAGATATAAAAAGATTTAACTCAAAAGCAATTGTACTGACTCAATTCAATGTATCGTTTCCGTTTGTGATACGTTTAGGTGCGGTTCAAGTTTTATTTAGGCTTTCCATGATCCGCCCGGTTTCGCCAGGGTGATTTCTTTATCTCGACAACAGCACCACCTACCAGGTCAAAATGTGATAATAAAAATAAACCATTTAGGGACCTATTTAAACACACACAAAAAATTTCATCAGAATCGTTTGAATGGTTTTAAAGTCTAGCGGACATAAGTAGAAACATTTTTATTTTATTTATATAGATAGATAACATACCTATTTATTCAACATCACAACAATTTGATGACAAGTGAACTATAGTTCTCTTACACATATTAATATATTAATTTCAACACTAACGTTCAGCTCTGTTGTGAAGTTCTGTTACGATGATCCGTAATAGAAAATAAAAAATTAAGAAATAAATGAAAAAGGAATGGAATGCCCTATTTATTGGTGAAGAACTTCTAACACGGTGCTCAGGGGCAAAATCTTATTCGGTGATAGATGACGAAGATGTCTGTGAAACTCCGCATTAGCATACATATTCTTAATAGTACTTTAAATAATAGTATATACACTTTAAATAATATTAAGTTAATAAGGCACATACTATAAATAGAGCAAAACGAAATAACGTCCCAGACGTTGAAACTTGTAATCCTTGTCAAGTCTTAAAAATATATGTCAATAATAACCGTGTAAGTGTCGTATAATACGTCTGTTGACCCTACGAAAT